GAGAGAAACTTCAAAGTAGTGATCAAGACACTGAGTCTTAAGGCACGTGACCCTGCATACAGTTTTGTTACGCTTTTTGTGAAGCACAAGTGTAGGAGTCTAGAACTGCTGTTTGCTGCGTTACTCCTTTCTCCTCCTCTTGGGGTTAACATAGAATTCTAGTACTACATAGCTGATATGTGTTTTTATCTTCTCATTTTCATAAAAAGAACCTCTGAAATACACAAAATTAATTGAATCACTGTAAGCATGTGATGATACTGGGGAACCCTCTGGAAAGAGTAACTGTGTTTATATGCTTATTTCAACATTTTGGTATGCTAGAAAAAGGGTTTTCTACACGGAGGAGAGTTCCACATGCTTTTGAAAGCATAGTGAGAATGTCGGTGTTCAGTAAACTGCAGTTTCAAAAAAAGGGGTAATTGATGTTTTAAAGCTTACTTACTATATGATCAATGGTGTATAACCTTTTATTTCTTGCTAGATATCAAATTCTACTTGTTTTAGAGAATAAACGATTGAATTTCACATGACTGAATCTCAATTTTTCTTTTTGGATTGCAAAATGCGCGCGTGGTATTGCCTCTCAAGTGAAATATATCTAGTCTCTCCTTTTTGTCTTGAGTGCTTTAAGTGTTTGTTGTACAAGTTCTTGGATAAATAGGAATTGTGGATGAGTACATGTAGGGATGAGTATTTTGGAAGTCTCTTCTAGGAATTTCTTAAATATGTAAGACTCTAGAAATGTGCAGACAGTGTGCTCTAGAAATGTGTGCAGACAGCATTACACACTGACTGTAGCACTCTTGCAGATAAAGAAACCTAACTTTTGAATAGTTTTGAAGAGAACGCTCTGAAACGTGAATATATGTGTTTAGAGTATTGTAGGTATTATAATGCCTCATATTTAGTAAAAGACTCTGGCTTGCCTCAGTACTGCATAGCTGTTGTTAAACTTTTATGTCTTTTCCCTGATATTTTAGACTTTTTAGCAGCTGTCATTAATTGTGCAGCTGAACAGTTTGAAGGCTAGTTGGAAACAGGTGGTACATGTTCTCAATATCTTGAGATGTGGATGGCAGTCAACAATGTCGTCATTGAAAACTTAGATATTCGTATCAGTCTGTGCTGATTTTGTTTTAGCAGAACCTTGGTATTGTTTGCTGTGGAGAAGAATGTACAAGGCTTTCTAAAATGTATTTTGGGGGAAAGTAATTTATTATCAATTGCTAAGCCTGTACAAGAATTGCTGACCTAATTGTAGAGGGTATGGATTAAACTGGCAGCAGAATGTCCTGGCTCTTAGCTGAAAGGCAGCTTGTACAAAGCCTTTCCTTTTGTATTCTAAATTTCCCACCTGGAATATTCCTGTGTTCTGAATGTGGCGTGTATGGTAACCTGGAGATAGATAGGCTTACATAACAGCATGACAGCAAACACTTTAGGAAAGCATAAACTTCAAGCAAGGTTGGTTATTGTGTACCCTATTTGGATAGGTAAAATCATCCAGTTTGCAGTAGCTTACGCTGTAGCGTAGCGTTGGCTTTGGGTCTGGAATCTGTCCGCCAAAAAGATTGAATCTGGTGAACTTGCTATGCTAGAAGCGCATACTTTCAGCGGATTATAATTGAAGACTTTACAGAAGAAGAATCAAACTGAGATAATTAATTGGGCCTCCTTAGTTAAACCTGTGGCTGAAACACTCTTATAATAAAATTTGTTCTGGGCATTATCTGTATCTTGCTACAATGTTGTACTGACTATTCAGCTAAGGAAATGGGAGTTGATTCAGACCTTTCTCTTAAGTGAGGTCCCTAGACCATTAAGCTAGCTAAAATAAATTTAGACATTTGGTTTTCATTAGTGTTGTAACCGAAACAAAAACATTTTAATGACTGATCCCAGAGTATTTTGAAGTTTGTGCAACTTTGCTGGGAAGGTATTTAAACTGTAGTATCAGTTGCAAGTTGGCCATATGCCATTTTTTCAAAGCTATTTCCGAGCAAGATGTTGGGTTTCTGAAGTGCGAAGAGTTATCTTCTGTAACATTATGATACAGGAAAATTTGAGAGAGGAGAAACAGTGGAAAGTAGTTATGGTAAGGTTTGTACTGGTAAAATGGAATTATCTGCAAAAAGGAGACAGTGACAGTAGTCATACTGCAATACAATTTCCTGCTTTGTTAAAGCGCTATTACAGTTCTTTGATAAGAGATACAATTTTGAGGTTATATGCTTATATTAAAAAAATTAACTACTCACAAAAATTGATGTTATTTTTTGGATGGATTTTTAATGCTTTAAATTTAACTTGCACAAAATGGGATCCTGCTTTTAAGAAAATAGCCTATTTGTTTCTTACAAAATCTAATTTGAAAAACATTTTTGGGGAAAATGCTTGAACTGGTCTTGGGAGACGATGACAATAAAATCTGATAAAGAACTAGCACGTAGACTTGGTCTACAAATAGAATATTAATCCATGGCTTTACATTCATGGGAAAAACTGGAGACTGTTCGAGCTGTTGTAAGATGAGGATTGATTATTCTGTGTTGTGCTGTAGTCAAAATAATGTTGTTTCATGAACAATCTTTTGAAGTTGTTGAAGCGTTCCTGATGATCGGGAGTAAATCAGGTATCCAGACGCTGCTCCCTCATATCTAAATTAGTTTCTTGTTGTTTTTGTTACTTGGCTGCAGACTGCCAGTAGTGGCTTTTCATTTTAGGTTTTGATGCTTATATTTTTTCATTTGTATGAGCTTGGATTCAATAGTGGTTAAAGTAAGACCCAGATTGTTTCATGTAGGCCATTAGAAACTGGTAGTGGTTTGAGCCACTGCAAATTACCACTTCTCCTAGAATAAAAATGCTAATCGGGGGAATTTTACTGAACTGCCTGTCTGAACAGGCGGAGGGGTTGCTGGGTTCATCTGTGCAAAATAACCGTAGTAAAGTGATTTAGCTGTAACTGACTAAAACAAAATGTTCCTACCAAAATTCACCTATCATAAATAAGAAGCAGTGGTTAGAGAGTGGCTGAAAGTCTGGGTAGCTCTTGAAATTTTCATGCTGGTTATGCAAGTGACATGTTTATACTTGATTTTTACATATTTACCTTTTATGTATATTTTTATGTAGGATGGGTAGAGCTAAGCTGAACTTAAGTCAACTTATTGAATCAACTATTTTCTAATTACACGTCTGTTCTATTATTTCAATTTGCAATACCTGAAGTACAATATATACTGTTCTTCACTGGCTTTTTAAGGATTCTGTAACTTCTTTTAGTAAGTTTTATGCAGGAATATGGCATTTAAAAAACATAAACTTTACACGAAGTAATAAAGTGGCTGTCTGTCACTTTAGAGAAGATTCTGTTCAGTGTATGTTATGGAAATTTTATTTGAATGCCTGAATTAAACATTTTCAGAAATGTGAAATAATGCAAAGCTTCTGATCTTGTTGCAAGAGTCTGACAGTCAGCCAACCCTTCCTTTTCTCCCATATTCCTTCTCGCTTAAGGGTGCTGTGTTTGGGGGTTTTGTTTGCTTTGTGGTTTTACAATCGGGATGTTCTAGATGATTTTTGTCCCCTCTGTTAAAGCGTTTAGAGAATGATTGCAATTTTGAAACAGCGTGAATTAAATAAATGGCCCATTTCTCGTGAATCTACGGTGCTGAAAGCATTGTATACTTACTCCATCACATTCTGCATATGGAAATAATGAAACGGATCCAAATGCAGGGTTACTTAAGTACCTTTAGCTACAGTTTGGAAATACAATATCATATTCTCATTTATTGCAATTCTCTTAAGTAGGTAGCGTAATAATAATAATCTTTGTCTCTAATAATCTTTTTTGCTACTACTAGTTGCGTATTGTTCAAAAAACAAGTGGAATTTGAATACTGAAAGAGAGGATGTAGTTTGTCAGAAATCAGCATAAAAAGTTCACTTCATTTTGTGATCATGAAGTGCTAGAGACTTATAAGAACATGTTAACTGATGTGGTGCTTGAAACAGCATCAGCCCGAGTATTTATTTTCTGTAGCTACTCCTATTCTAAGTCATTGACGTTTTTGAAATAAATTGTCATTTTTAAAAAATAGATTAAGGGTAGAACTTAATTTCTGCAGAACATTTAGTTGATATTTATTACTGTTTTGTAGCACCACCATAATCTTGGTACTAAATGTAAGTATTAAAACTCAGTGCTGGTACCAACGTAAAAAGCAATATCAGATCTGCTCTAGGGTATGAAAAGGATTATTGGTAAGGAGAAGGGTGCCCAGTACTTCTCTGTTACACCAGTTTGTTCACATCTTTGTTTTAACATTCTGAAAACGTGAGTAGAGCTGAGATAGAGATGGCAGAGGAGTGAGCATTAGTAAGTAGGATGAAAGTAGTTCTGAGTCATGATTTTAATAAGACCTGTTAGGATGCCTAGTATATGGGAAGAATGTTCCCCTTGCAAGCACAGGGGAACAGAATAATAGGGAAGAAAGTGTGAAGTTAAAAAGTTGAAGGAAAAGCAAATTTACGAAGAACAAATAAAGTATACGGGACATCCGAGGTGAAGCAGTGATAGAAAACGCATCCTCAATAAAGTGAAAGGCATTTAAAGAATATAGAAATGGCCATGCTGAATGTGACTTGTTCCATCTGGCTGCTTACTAGGTAGCCTCTGGTGTCTGCTGGGGCAGTCCCACCTTACTAGTTTAGGAGAGGGCTCATCCTAACTCACTTTAGGTTTAGAAGGTTAAGTACCTAGTTTGTGCTAGTCGTCCAGCCTCCCTTTATAAGAAATGAAGAGAGACTTGCACCTTCAAAGCTGGCTTTAAGACAAACGTTTCAGCAAGCAGTTAAACACTCGCGGTCCTGGAGGTGAGGCTGCACGTTGCAGCTAAGCCAGTGCGCTAGCCTGGTCTCTGCACCAGCTCTGGCACTTGTCAGATCCTTCCTTCTCTGAGCCCGTTCAGCTTGCCAACCAGGGAGAATATCTCAAAAGAATTGGAAGCAGAAAAGTTGGATGAAACACTTAAAAGACAGGTAAGTAGATGAGGATTCTTTTCACTGAATCTTTTAATTATTTTAATTATTTTTCTTTCAATTATTATCATACCCAATCACGTAATGACTGGGTTATAAAGCAGTTAGTGATTAACTGAGTTAAAAACCAGTACTAACAAAAGTGCATCTTACCGCAGAGGGGAGAACAGTGAATATCCTTCTCTATCAGTTGTGTGGGATATAAGTTGTTTTAGCTGAGAAAAGTTGTGTGCAGTTCAGTGGAAACTATGGAAAATGGAAGTTCTGCACTAAGAGAGGGTATGCCTTTAAGCTGTATCAGTACCTAACTTAGACATTGAGCGTGTCCTTGGAAGCATACTGATTTCCGTGTGACACACAGATTTATTGATTTTGTTTTCTTTTTTTTCCCCTTTCATTTATTTTTTACTTAAAATCATTTTTCATTTGGCAAAAGGAAAAATACAGCTTTCTGGGCTAAGACAGTGGCACAGTTTGTCTATAAAAATAGAATGCGTATGTTTATTTAGGTGACAGATCATGGAACAAAACTTGCATATATCTGCTTTTGTGCTGCCTATGCTCAAAATACCCAGTGAAATGAAGAAGAAACGTCCTTAAAGGGATAGTGCCTCGATAGTTACCTTCTATGTTTCTAAGCAAAGCAAGATCGTAGTACCTAAAGTTTAGAGAAATCTTTTTTTTTCTCACAGGTCAAGCAGCTTTGCGTGCATGGTGACTCTGAGTAGTAGTTTTTATTCTTGACTCTCTTGTTATTGGCATCCCAGGCCAGCGAAAGGACAAGAGGCAACGGGCACAAATTGAAATATGAGAAAGTCTGTTAAAATGTAAGAAAAAACTTTTTTTTACTGTCAGGGTGATCAAACACTGGAACAGGTTGCCCGCATAAGTTGTGGAGCCTCCAGCCTTAGAGCTTTTCAAAACCCGACTGGGCAAGATGCAGAGCAGCGTGCTCTGGCTGTCCCCGCTTTGAGCGGGGCGGTTGGCCGAGACGATCTCTGGGGGGGTCCCTTCCAGCCAGCCTCAGCCGTTTTGTGAGCCTGCGAGTCCATGAACCTGGTTCTTCTAATGCAAACTCTGGAGGTGCACAGTAACGTGGAGCTTCAAAGTGGCATGTTTTCCTTGGAAATACAGAGCGTCAGTGTTTCAGGACTGCTATTGAGGCACGGCTTCTTTGTTTCACCAGTTACTATCTTATGACAGTTGACATTTCTGCTGGTTCACTGCTCTACTGAAACACTGGAAAGATTTGTGTCTGGCCTAGTTAGAGCATAGGAAGCACAAAAGCATGACTGCGCATAGTTGGTATAACTATGTGTTCTTCATGTATGGCAACAGTTTTAATCGTTTAATTGCAAAGCAGTCCTGTGACAGGAAAAAGAGTCTCCAGTGTTAGCTACTTCTCCAAATTTACTTGCTATATAATAATGAAAAAACTGCAGTTCTTGGAAATATGAAGTGGATTACGAGAGGCAGGATTTGTTTGCAAATGAGAATATTTGGCTATGTGGTTGCAAGCTTGATGGTGTGGTGATAGGGCCCTTGTCATATCTGAAACTCAGGAGGGAAAAAAAAAAAAGAAGATGGACTCAAAATGTGAAACTTTTCTCAGACAGTGAAGACTACTTCATATGGAACTGGCTGCTGGAAGATACTGAGGCATATAAGGTACATAATGAGCTTAGACCACAATGTAAATGTAAATTTATTGTTTTTTCGCACAATTTTTTAGCTAACGCACAGAAATATGATGAGGCTCAAATAACTTCTAAGACCTAGGTAAAATGCTCCCCATAGAGATGTCCATCCTGTGGCAGCATACACTTTTTGCTGAAGCATCTGATGTTTTGTCATTATTGGAGATTATGGGAAATCCATTTGATCTCATGGGTTGGTTGAGTACAGTCTGTCCTGTATTTCGGGCTTAAAAATGGAAGTATCTGCAGTTATATATAAAAGAGTAAATGATATTGTAGTTACAGGGTTTATGCAAGAGCAAAGTTACTTCATGAGCTTACAGACAGCATAAATATTTTCTGAATCCATAAGTAAGCATGTTTCAGTGCTGTTGCTAATGGCTTCTCATATCTTGATAAATGCTGGAAAAGAGTGTGCAAATTCTGTACTGATCTACTTGCAATTTGTCTTTATATATACATAGGTATATATAAAACCCTGAAAAACCAAGTAACTTGTCTCTAAAATACGCTGGAAAGACAACTTCAGTCTCATCTGAAGCAAGGAGATTCTTAGCTTTCTTTTTCTTATCAGCCATTCAGTTTAAATGGGCCACTGTTGCCCCTGATGACATTGAAGATTCCAGAAACAGAATTTTACCGTGATTAAACTTGAGACATTAAACAGAGATTAAATTAAAACTTCTTAAGTATGTCTGATTCATGGAAAGTAGAGCAGATCAGCAGACTGTGAAATAGCAATCAGTCTGCCTCCAAGGTTGCAGCTCCGAGTGGGAGTGTTGGAATGCCGGATTTCTTCCTCCACCCCAACTTTTCTGTTACTTTTCAGGACTGCGTACTGCACTTTTTCAAAGAAAGGTCACAAGTAGGAACGTAGTCCTCTACTGTTCCTGAGTGCTCAGACAAAAGTTGCCTGTAAGGAAGGAGGGGGGGAGAGAGAGAGAGAGAGAGAGAGAGGAGCAATGAACTACTTTCTCCCTTTCCATTACCTCATCCTTCTACCTCCTCCTTTTTTCAGTATAAACTAGTGTTGCAGGCAGTATACTTTTTTGACCACTCTTATAGTGACCTGATTGACAAATTGTGTATTTCTGATGGTTTTGTACAAAAGCCTAGTTTTCATTAGTGTGGTGCTACGGAACAAAAGTGTGCAAGTATAGCTAACATTGCTTACGTTGTGTTTTCCTTATCAATTACAAGAAAAAGTGGTATTTATTTAAGTCTTTTAATAACCAACTGCTCTTTAGGAGTAAGCATATTGCTACTTGCATCCGCTTTCTGCCCTGTCTAATTTTGATGCTGAAACCCATGAGAGAGGATCCTGCCTAGGGAACGGAGCTGAATTTCCCGAATGTGTTTTAGCTCTGTGACACATTCAGTGGCAACAGCTGCTTCCATCTGCGTACATGTGCAGGAAGAGCTATTCAGCTGAACAGGCGGCATTTGCTCAGCCTTTTACTGTGGTATGCATTATGCTAGCACATGTACTCAGTTTTGAAATCTGCAGAATATTGCATATTTTGTCTGAAGTTCAAATATGGCTGAAAATCTATTAAAAAAAAAAACCTGAATCTTCTTGATGTAATTTAGAGACATGACCTATTTGGTCATCCATCAAAATGACTTTATGCCGTAAAAGTGGGGTGTATTATTTTCCTTTCTGTATATTCCATCCTACAAGTGAAATATTGCCTTGTGTCTAGATCTCTAGAGAAGGAGCCAGGCTTTTGGCTTGTATTTCTAGTTCTGATAACGCACCTAGAATCTATTCCCAACTGACTGATGTCATCTTAGGCAAAGTTTCAAGTCACCTAGCCTCTGCATCTCGGTACACAACATATATTTTCATGCAAGTCTATCTGATTGGGCATTGGGATCTTCTAGCTATAAATTTAGAATTGATACTTTTTGTATATTAAAAAAAAAACCCTAAGAGTTCTGTTTTAGGATAAAGACAAATTAATTTCTGCTCCTTCTGAAAATCTGTTTTTGTAACAGCTACAGCTCCTAATGCCAAAATAGTGGTCAGTTGCCCTCCTGCTTTGGCTGCTGCACTTTGTTGGACCTATTCTTTTCCTTGATACTGTGGTTTAAACAACTATTTCACTTGTGCTCCCGGACTGAAGGGAAACAGTAGTGTAAGTCTAATTTCTGTGCCAGGCAGACTGGATAAAAGTAATGTATTGACAATCAGCATAGCTTTCATGGAAAGAAGTCATAACTTGCAAATCTTTCAAGGGAGTCAGTGAGCACAAGGGAGGAGGTTATGAATAATCAGAGTTCAAGATAATCCAGCCAATGTGATACTGCACAGAACAGTTTTCTCTTGACTATCTGCAGAGGTTGCAGTTTGAGGGTAGAAAATTAGCAAACAAAAGAAAGAAGCTAAGGTGTTGGCATGGATCATCTATCAACAAAAGTAGCATCACATATGACATGAGCTGAAGAAAAGACGTATTCCTTCTGAATTAGAGCAGGACTAGCTTAGTTGCTGTACTACCTTAAGGTCAGCTAGGGAGAAGACAAGCTGGATTTGCAGTACCTTGCAATCTGCTCAGAAAGATTTTGAACATAACTCATAACCATAACTAATGTTTAAAACCATTCTGATTATGTGAGGGTGTTTGGAGCTAGCAGCTAAGTGTTTCTGTTTGTAAAGGTATATATAGGCATAAGTAGTGTTAACTGGAAAAATGAGAAGCAGGTCTGCTCAAATATTCTGTCAGTCTTTTGTCCTTATGTTTCTTGTAGAGTGTAGATTTCTAAAAAATCCATATTTTATTCAAATGATGTTTGAAGTGCTGACTTTTCCCCTTCTGGAATTCTATAATGTTACCGTGATCAGTGTAGACACGTCCCACTTTGAAGTGGTCTATGTTTAATTGCCTTGTCGAAATTCCAAGCAGAATTCCGTTTAGAAATTTACACTGAGGTGCCTTCCTGCCCTCATGAGGCTAATAGCTGCAGACTCTGGTTTTTGTCAGTCCAGGTGGAGCTACTGCTTTTAACTCACTTCTCAACTTTAAAGAGAGGTTTGATTTTTAGAGGAAAAAAATTTAGAAATCAAAGTGGTGCACGGTTTTCAGACACCGGGAATGAGAAATTGTGTTCTGAACTCTCTTCCTCTCTCATTCTGTTAAGTGTCCTTTGCAGAGATGGGATCTTGGCAAATGAGCACAAATATTTAGTACTAAACAATTTTCCACTTCAAGTAAAAAACATGTAAACCTGAGATCATATTCCAGATATAAATCAGGTTTTAAGAGTATTAGAAATTTGCCAGCAGCTGACACGCAAATATTT